TAAAAAATAATTAATAAATTTTTTAAAAGGAAGTATGAGGACAGCAACATGTTCTTTGGATATTATTGCCAAAGAAAACATTAACGAGGAGCCTTCCCAGAGGACTAGCAGAGGTGGTTGTTAAAAGTTCATGGTTAGCTGCCTTTCAAATCTTATCGTGGACCAGGTACTAAACTCCAGGACGGAAATGAAATAAAAGTTCATTAAATGCTCATATTATCATTGTGTGCTTTTAAAAAGACTGCTGAAGATATACTGTCTTAATTTTTAAAGAACACTCATGGTGAGCCAACGGATAGAAGTTATACTGAAGAGAACAGTGATGTTTGACAGCCATTTCCCCGACAAGCCGGCCCTGACCTGGCTGTTCTCCCCAGAGAGCAGGTTTTCCAAGCATAGGGGTCATTTGTTTTCCAGACTACTGAGAGCAGGCGTGGTGGCACATGCCTGTAATCCCAGCACTGGGGAGTCTAAGACAGGAAGATTATTGTGAGTTCGAGACCAGCCTGGACTACAAAGTGAACTCAAGGCCATCCTGAGCTGCTTAATGAGACTCTGTCTCAAAAACACAAACAAAACAAAACAAACAAACAAACAAACAAAAAAGACTACTGAGAGCACTTCTCAGTCTGCCTCGGCAAGAAACAGAAATCTGGTGAGATGGTGAGATAGCGCAGCAATCTAAAGAGCCTGCTTAGGCAACCACAGGGACTGCAGTTCATCCCTGCACCACGTGTGGCGCCAGCCCCTCCCCCAGGACAGGCTGAGCTGGCCACAAAAAAACCCAAAAAAACAAAAACAAAAAAAACCCTAGCCTTTCTATTGGGCCAGCCAGATCCCTCAGTGGATTAAAGCGCCTGCTTAGGCAGATGCAGCAGCCTTGGTTCAATCCCCAGCCTGCTGTGCCGGTCCCATCCCCAGGGCATGCTGAGATGGCGACTGAGCCTGGGCATGGTGGTGGCATGGTGGCATGCACCTATAATCCCAGCACTTGGGAGGCTGAAAAACAGGAAGGATCACTACAAGTCCAATCTACATAGCGAGACCCTGTAGACCCTATACTAAATACATAAAAAAAAAAAAGAAAGAAAGAAACAGAAATCCACCTTTCAAGGATTGCTAGGAAGCAGGACCAGTCTTCTTCATTTTGAACAAGGACAGAGTTGGGAAAAATAATCATATCCCTGAGCAAAGTCAAGGGGCAAGAAGGCAGATTCCTGGTCCTGAGGGTTCACAGATCTGGGAGGGACTTCTTTCCAGTGACCAAGATACAGAGTCAGGCCTGAGAGACCCTGTTCTATAACAGCATAGCTAGTGCATTTGGAGCACTTCCTGTAGGCCACACATTGTCTTATACCCTATTCATGCATTAGTTTGCTTAAGTACCATATTAACTGAGAAATGGGTATAAGTATTATCATTCCCATTTTATAGATGAAAAAATGGAGGCACAAAGAGGTTAAATCATACCTCAGATAGCACAGCTAGCAAGCTGTGAGGTGAGATTTGAACCCAGATAATCTGGTCCAATATCTATACCCTCCTAATGCATCTTCAGAAAAGAATACTAGATTGAAGGCTGTACTTAGCTATGAACTCCCCCAAATAACCTACACTCATGTAGGAATAAAGGATGGAAGGCCCTGGCCGGTCCATACCTGCTGTTCGCTTAACACTTTGCGAACATATTCTGCCTTATCTTTCCTTGTGACCACAGCATGATTTGGAGCTTGAGCCAGGTGACATGTCTGATACTCGTCCACAGACTTCCGGCTGCCATCCGGGCACAGCAGCTCGAAGTCCTCCTTCTTAAGTTTGCTAGCCCAAGGGTCAGGGTTCTTTCCTAGGGAGAGAAGGAAAGAAAGTGGATCAGCCAGAGGAGATGGGCTCGGTCACTGTGGGATTGTGGCCAGCCCACTGGTATGCGTAGGATCTGGGCCTTTGGCCACTGAAGCGGCAGAAGTACACGTACTGGTTTTATGCAACATGGAGAGGAAGGGACACCCACATGGTGTATAAGGTGATGCTAAAGTCACACCCGCAATTACTCGTGGCGACCCCCAGCTGGTCTTTCCTGCGTGGACAGGGAAGAATGAACTGCACTCTGTAGATGTCACCCAAAGTGACCTTCCTTTTTTATTAAACTCCAAAGCCTTCTGGACTCCCTACTCCCACACAGAAAGACCTTAAACTGCTAAGCCAAGTGCATCAATCTCCGTCCTGTAATCTGCTGTCTACAAATGAAAGGACATCTCTTAGAGGACCCTTTCAGAATCTGCATCAGTGTTTTCAATCTGACACCTTCACTTGAGTACCTAGTGAAAATGTGTGCATGCTTGGGTGGTATAAGCCCATGTCCTCTTGCTTTATCCTGTCTAGATTCTCTTTGTTAAAAAAATAAATAAATAAAAAACCTCAGCTATGCTGCATGTCAAACACATATTCCAAGTTTCATGTCTACCTCCTATTGCAAAAGTTTTTTTTTTTACTTTATTCATGTTTTCATTACATTTCCTTTCTTTAATTGAACAACATGTGAAACTGTGCTCACAAAATGTTAATACATTTACATATAAACTACAAGTCTTCCTTTCCTGTACTCCCCAAATCCTACTCACTTCTAGAGAGCTAATCTTTGATATCGCATTTGAGTACTTCCATCCATGCCTTGTTATATATATGCATCTATCTCTGTGTCTACATGATATTGCATATTTATAATTGTTATTAAACTGTCATCTTGGAGAATAGATATACTGGAGTGGGTGAGCAATCAAGCCCACTGCCTAAATTCTATTCAGGTGGCAAAGATCTTGGAGTCCTTCAAAGAACGGGGCAAGACCTCGACATGGGGGGAGGAGCTCTCAGAAGAGTACAACAATCAAGGGCGGCAAAGAACCAATGTTCAGGGTAACATTCTGAAGCAGAAAGAAGGAAAGCCCTTACAGGAAAAGAAAAATAATACAAGGGAAAAAAGAAAAATTAGTCAACCCAATATTGTGTCAGGTAAATTCTTAGCAGCTGCTGAGTGCCGTGTGCTGTCCTAGTTGCTGGGGATATGAGAGGAGGAAAAGATTGCAGGGATGTTCTGCAGCCAAAGTGTGTCAGACGCTGTGGCTACTTCTGTAATACAGTAATGTGCATTTTTGTTTTGTTTTAATGCCAAGGCTTCCCCCGCTTTCACTGCCAGCCAATGCCCACTGGTGATGCTTCCCTGAATTAATTATCATCCTATTGGTTGCCAGGCAAAAGTTTTCTAACTTTGCTATTCTACCTAATTCTTTGACTTAGCACTCTCTGATTAGGAAGAGCTTACCCTGCTTTGCTTGTCCAGTCAGTTATTAGCCTTTACAGCTATCCTTATTTTATTTTATTTTTTTCATATATTTGGTACAGAGTCTCACTATGCAGCTTGGACTCATAGTGATCCTCCTGCTTCAGCCTCCCCAGTGCTGGGATTACAGGCATGTGTCCCCATGCCCAGACTCGGTGGCTGGCTGAGCATGCCCAGGGGCAGGGCCAGTGTGGCATGTGGTGCTAGGGATCAAACCCAGGTCTTTGTGCTTACCTCAGCAGGTACCTAGTCTGCTGAGCTACCTCGCTGGCCCACTGTCCTTATTTTAATGTTCTGAATTCCCAGACTTGGCATAGGAGGTCCTTCAAATTGGCTCCTGTATAATAGATTGCCTATTATACTTTGAACATTTCAGTGGGAGAAACTCACCATATATTTTTTTTCTGCCCAACCTTGAAATTAGCTCATTTTCCAAGGATTCCTGGTTCTTTTTTGCAGAGAATAGTATTTAGAGTCAGTATCTTGGTGCTCATTTCTACTGGTATGCTATGGCCTCTAGACCTTCTCAGCAGATAGAACCAGGAAATATATAATATAGCATAACATAATAATAAATTTATGTGTATACATGAATACACACACACACACATCGGTTCCTGGCCACAGACAGAACCTGTGAATGTGGAGTAAGAGCTCTACTATTGAGCCACATCCTAGGTTCCAGAAAAAGGAAAATCAAAGCTGTAAAGGTCATTACTGGAATGACTGAAAACACTTAACTATGTGCTGTGTAGCATTAATCCACGTAAAGTAAGATTTCCTAATCTAGGACTATAGGTTTGTAAGAGAATGTCTTATTTTTCTTGAGAAATTGGCACAGAAGTATTTAGGCGCAAGGGCCACATCTGCAGCTGGTGGGGGAGGATTTGGGGCTTTCGGGGGCCCTCGGGGCCTGATCATCCTTCGTCGCCAGTTGAATATTTCTCTCTTCACTGAACACACAGGCTGACAGTTGGAGCTTGGAAGGCTGGCAGCGTGCCATTCTTCTACAAAGCCACCCCTGAGTGCCAGTGCACCCTGCAGACCTGGATGTCGTCAGGGCACTGGAACATGTGCACGTACCGTCAGTGTTCTGTTTGACTGTCAGGTGCTTCACAAAGGCCACGTCTCCTTTCTCAACCAGACACCTGCAGAGGTCCAGATGGGGAGAGAGAACAGAGGAAATCAGACTGACACACACGTTACTCACAGGGCAAGCTTGTAAATCTAGGCTGGCCACCTAATAGCAGCAGTTGTGGCTTCCATTCTACCACTTAGCAACACAAGAAATAAAGAAAAAGAAAAGCTCTAATTTGTTGTGTATTTACACGATCTCAGTTCCACAAGCTAAATCTTTTTTTTTTTTTTTGTATTTAGGACAGGGTCTACAGGGTCTCACTACATAGATTGGACTCACAGTGATCCTCCTGTTTTCAGCCTCCCAAGAGCTGGGATCACAGCACATGCCACCATGCCCAGTCTCAGCATGCCCCATGGGTGGGGCCGGCATGGCAGGCCTGGGGATCGAACCCCAGCCACTGCGCTCTGCCTAAGGAGGTACTTTAGTTTGCTGAGCTATCAGGCCAGCCCTCTAAATCATAATTTTTGATACAGCTTCTCCAATAGATTACATTCTTTTCTAACATCAACAGAGACAGCAGAAAATCTGTTTGCTAGCAAGGTAATCATCCCCCAGCAAGCATATAAAATGTGAATGGAAAGCTATTCAGCTTTTTTAATACATGAAAATATCTATGTAATATTTATGAAAGATTGCAACTCCATCAAAAATCTCAATTTGTTCCTTCATCCCTTCAAAAAAGAATGTTACATTCAAGGAACTTTTGAGGGTTTTGTTTTGCTTTTTTTAAATATTTTATTTTGTTCTTGTTTGAGAAATTTAGAGAACATGGCTATCCTGCTGTAAAAGCACTTGGCTCTACTAGACCACAGTCTGCAGGTTTTTAGATGAGGTGCACAGATCTGAGCCACAAGACTCCAAGAAGTTTCAGAAAGGCAATATAAACAAAATAAACTCTCTTGACCATGGATTCATTACTCCTTTTAACTGCACTCCTTTAAAAGTACACATCACACATACACTGGTCGAGGAGGGTGTCCTTCCGCATGATCCAGGTAGATCAGACTTTTGTAGAGTAGGCCCCCAACTTACTGTGACCCCCTTGCTTCACAGAAAATAATTTGCCTCTTCCTACAGCACTTCAAGAGACTTGTGGAAAGCTAGCTGAAAAAGGTAAATGCCTGTTGTATTGTATACTGAATACATTTCATTTTCCATTGAGTTCAGAGTCTGTCAGTTTGATATTTTATAGTATAGCTAGGTTTCATAAGACATTTTCATGAAAAGAAGGCTTTAGACATGTAAGCAAAAGTTGAGCCTTTTTCTTGATCTGTAATTCTCAAACATGTCCTCACTAAAAAGAGACAAGGAAAAGATCAAAAAGGGACATTTTCAGGCCTCCTCAACCTTTTAAATCCCTGTGAAAACAAGACAATCTTTTGTACAATTAAAAAGGCATGGAGTGTGGATTGTACTTACTCTAACATACAAGGTTATTCAACCTGAAAAATAGAGATCTTCACTACTGGGAAGCTCAGTTACAACACCACCAGCATTGTGTATTCATGGATTTGGGAACTACCAGATAACAGAAAGCCTGCAGCGGAAAGCATAACTAAGAAATAATGTAACAGGCTACATAGGTGTCTCCGTAAGAATGAGAGACACTCCATCATGTACAACTGTAGTGAGGGATTTAGAAATCATGTGCTTCACTAGTCAGTACTTCCGGATGAGAATGGTTCCAGGTTATTCAAGAGGTCCTTGGACGAACCTGAACTGAATTGCTGACTCAGTGTTTCTTCAAGTCTACTGTTTTATCACTTTGGCACTCGTGACATTTAGAGCTGGATAATTCTTTGCTCTACAGTGTTATACTATATATTGTAGAAGTTTTAGCTGCTTCTAATAGCAAGCCCAACACTCTCCATGCCCAATGTGGTCACAATGGAATATACAGTTAGACACTATTAGTGTTGCCTGGAGGACAATTGCCCTCAGTTGAGAATTGCTAATCTCTACCACATATCATTCTCTTTGGTCTATGATAGCCATGTTGGCAGTGTCCTGGAGGAGCCTGGGTGCCCCTCTCATGGTTCTATGTTTGGGTGCAAGATATCCCACCCTAATGCAGGCATCATTTAACAGACAGAACATAAGAATCTCACCTTAGTTCCTAATAGAAGTCTAGTCAAAACTAGGATATTGTTAGACATAAAAGACTCACCTGAAAGCCCCTGTGTAGCCATAGTATGCCTCTTTGTTGTTGGGAGCACACACATTTGGGCCAATGCAGAGCTCACAGAGACTGGAATTTTTTGGAGACCCAGGGGCACAGCCTTGACTGAAAAATTCATCTGTGCAGAAGGACCAGCAAAAGTCAGTGCTTCCTGAGTCAGTCAACACTACTGGCTTTTGTCTAACATACAACATAACTTGGCCCAGAAGAATTAGAACGTGTTAATTCATTCTGTGACCTGCCATCAACTGACTCAGAACTGACAGACTCCAGGCTGTAAAACTGAGGTTGGGAAAAGGAGCTTATGCTCATTACAAGATGGAAGAGATTCCTTTGAGCACCAGGATAGTCTCATCAATAGCCTGAAGAAAGAATAAATTAAGTTTCTGAGCCTGCTTTCAGATGTCCCCTTTGCAAGGTCAACAAGCTCAATGAGAGGATGTGGAATTTTCCTTGGGCTTCAGCTGTTGCCCAATGCTGTGAAAGTGTAGGAGGGCAGCAGATAGTGCAGAGGGCAAGAGCCCACTGGGGCCAAAAAATAATGGTTCAAAGGGCAAGGGCCTGAGCAAACTGAACTAAGTAAACTAAAGGCCACAGAAGATCAGGCCTGAGGAAGACTGGAGCTGCGAGAACACAGCTGATGGAATCTACTGGCAACAGGACGCCTGGCACAGCAGCAGCAAGCATGAACAGATCTGTGTGTTTGCATGCCCTCTCTGCCCCTCTGTCTGCTCGCGCTACATAAGCTTTTCGATCCAGGTATCTCCCTGGAGTGCTCTTGCTTCCTCATCTAATGAGTGCTTTTCTCTGTTTCTTCAAATAAGCCACATGCCCCAGCCCATTCCCCGCTGCTTGCTGTCCTATCATGTTCTTCTGCACTGCTGTAGTATAAGAACCTGAAGAAGAGAGAGAGCTGGTTACACCATGACTTCTTGAGGTGACTCCAGCTGCACTTTGCTTTGTGTCAAACTAATGTGCCAGAGTACTATGGTGCAAGAATCCCTAGGTACACGGGGTTTTCTGGAATTTGTAACCAGATTTAGAGACTTCCATCCAACAAGCCTCTTCTTCTCCTTAAGGGGTTGCCCAAAACTTGGCACTGGCAAGGAAGAAATAGGAAGCAAATGTAAACCAGAATCCTTGTAAAACATTTGTTTGTAGGTATCTTCCACCCAGAGGCTTAAACGGGGTAGGAATAAACATGTACCTGATAGATATTCAAAGAACATGAGCAAATAAGCTGCTATCTACCCCTAGAGGAAGCCCACAAGCTGGGAAGTGACTCAATATGATTGCTAATACCTTAAGAGACCAGGGTTCACCCCCACACACATACAGCCTGTAGAACTTTTATGGCAGTGATTGCTAGCTGGGTGTCCAATATTCATTTTCCTTTGTTCTTTAGTAGCAAAACCCTTAGTTTTATTTGGGGTAGGAACATGTTCCAATAAAAAATTATGTTCTCTTTTATAGACTCTTCTGGTTCTGAGCAATGAGAAATTAGCTCAAACAGTGGGTTAAATGTCAGGGAAGGCTCCTTTATAAAGCTGACAAAGGTTGCTTTGCCCTAACTTGGTGCTTGGGGCCTGGACTGTGGATGTGATGGCAACCATAAAGTAACTGTGGACGTGAAAGCTCCATGCCGGAAGTGGTGAAGTAGAAAGGAGGAGAAACCATCAGGATCGTAGTAGTCATGGCCTGCTTATCTGTGGTCTTTTTGATAAGAAATAAAAACAAATGTACACTGTCTTGAGCCACTATGAGCAACTTCAATGAGTCAGCTTGACTCAATTACCCGGCTCCCCAACCTTTGTATCCCTTTTTTGATATTTCCCTAAGGGTTGCTCTTACAAAATGCTACTTCTGTGGAACCAGGGCTCCCAGACGCTTGTACCACACCTCTGTCCCACAGGCCCCTTCCTTCTGCTGTGACCTTGCCACAACTCCTTCCCAGGAGTCACTCACCAAATCTGCAGTGATTGATTCTGCTGAAGAGCAGGCCCATGGGGATGTTCCAGCCAGCGGTTCTGTCTACTGCGGTGTGGCAAGACTTCTTGCCCTCCAAATTATCCCAGTTGATGTCAGGATCTGATTTCTTCACCACTGCCACGCCGAAATACCCTACAAGAAAGACACAAGGAGAGAAGTGTCAATACCTCTGGAGCCTCCAAAGTATCTGCTTCCATCAAAGGGCAGCATCTCTGTAGGGCAGCACAGATTTCTGAATCGTTCTTAGTGTCTCAAGGGGATCTCTGCAGTAACTGTGGTAAAATCAAGGTACTTGATAGAAAGAGATTAATCTGAACTTTACAGACAAAATACTAATATCACATGGTACCCCATTCTCTTGTACAATTTTCATGTTTTTATGTGTGAGTCAAAAAAAAAATAGAAAAACTGAAGTACTGAGAATATATTATCACTAGAACAATGGCTGATGTATAGCCCTTCCCTGAATGCAGTATTAATGAAATTAAAAATCCACAGTCCATCCGCTAGTGTGATATTGCAGAGAAATGGATATGAAATATCATAGCCAATGTAAGCCTCGCATTTTATAAATGAACATGTATTGAGATAGAGTAGTATAAGACCACTGTACAACAAAGGTTAACCAGACTAGACATTTTCCAGTAGGACATAATTTTATACAGTAGTTGTGCAAAGTGGAAAATATAAAAAAACAAGTCAGCTGCTATTTTCAGCAATAAGTACATGCTGGTCTTTATAAGAAGCATAGAGCATCAACTCATGATTTCAGTTTTCCAATTTATTCAGTTCAGAATACAACGGCTCTTTGTAGAGCAGCTGAGGAGCTTAGCTGCCCCAGTGCTGGGGGAAAGCCTAGGAGGCTGCACTCAGCAGAAGGGACAGGCACAGGCTGCACCGGAGGCTGCTGTCCGCAGTGCAGCCTGCAGGGTCCTGAACACAGCTCCGGTGCTTACCTCCAGACCCGCTCCTCCACAGGTTTCCAGGTCCAGCCCTGGCTGGAGCCCTGGGTGACAGCCAGGGTGGCCGGGTTTCCTGAGCCCAGCCCTATCTGGGAGGTCAAGTCATTTTATGCTCCTAGGCAGCTGTCTTTGTAAAGCAGTCTACCCAACCTTATATGGAATAAATAAGCGAGTTTTCTTGACTAATGCTACCTCTCACCTAAAATGTGCAGACCTTTTGGAATGTGAGGTGGTGGGAAACAAGGAGAAAATCCTAGACTTGGTCTAATGCTAGACGATGTACAAATTACCTGAGCCCTGGCATCCACCTGTGCATCCTTAGAGGATGCCAATCCCTACCTTATAGGATTAAGTAGGCAATCCTACCTACAAGTTATTGCAAATGTACAGGACTAACCATCATTATCCATTGCTGTGCTTCCACAGTGCTTCTGCTTTCTAAAAAAGATTTCTTACCATTGTCTACGTGCAATGTGAATTTTAAACTGACCTAACAATTTCTCCAAAATAATGAGAATTTTCCTTTTCATTCCTGAGGTTACCAAATTTCAACTTACCTTTTTCAGGTGCTGCTTTACAATTAGTGCTTTCTAAAAAAAAAAAAAAAGAAAATGAAGAAAGCATTAAATACATATTTCAATTTTTTTTAAAAAATCAAGCCAGACTTGGTGACACATATCTACAATCACATCTGGTGATTACATCTTTAATCCCAACACCCTGGGAGGCTCAGACAACAAGGTCACAAGTTCAAGCCCAGTCTGGGAAATTTTATCAAGACCATGCTCAAAATATATTTTAGAAAAGGAAGTTAAGGTTACTGCGAGAGCTTGGGATGTTACTCAATACAAGGGCCCTAGGTTCAATCCACAGTGCTATAAAAAAATTCACATCTTTCTCATGCAATAACTAAAAATAAAAAGAGTCAGATAAAACCACCCATGTCACCAGTTCCAACACGTCTAGGCTTCTTGAATGACACAAGATCTTTAGCTGCTGGGCTCTAAAACATACATACACTGTAAATTTTAAATTTCCCACCTACACAGAGCCCACATAGGGTGCAGGCTAACTATATTTAAATCCCTGCATCAAGGCAGCAGGAAAAATATCAGATCCGGAAACTGAAAGACCTGCTAAAAGCCTAGCTGTCCTCTACAAGGGAGTTAGTTTTAGCAGAAACTTCACAGCGTTCTGAGCTTCTATTCCCCACCACTAGGGGTGAGCTAAATACCAGGGTTGCAAGATGACTGAGGGTTCTTCGTGAGAGTACAGAATCTAGGTAGCAGGACGCATTAGGCAAGGAGCAGCCACAGTATGGAACCAGGCTGTGATTTTCCCTTATCCTCTCTCCATAGCCAAAAGGAGGAAGATGGAGGATATCTCTTGCTCTTACCGTAGTTTTCTGCCATAACAGGAACCAGACCACACTGGCTGGCTATGTAGACAAATCCACCATCCAAGCTCATGGCATCAGCTTCCCCACTCTGCAGATACAGCCAATCGCAATAGTTGAAAATGTGCTATTTCCTACTCATGCGCCCCGTGAGCTGCCTCTGAAGAGCTTTCTGAGCTCAAGTTCTGAATGGCAGGAAAACAGCAAGCAAAGGTACAGAACCCCAAGAGATAAGCCAGGCACGTCTGACAGAAAATAAAATATCTTCTCATGTTTGGCAAATCATCATCACCATCATAAAATAATGATGAGTTGCAGGTGACTCACTTCGAATCTCCCTGTGTTCTCATAGGACACTGCCCCAGAAATAGTCCTGTGACACCTTTCTGGGCCTATGAATTCTCATCTGTGAGATGGAGAGGTATCATCGGAGACCCAGGGCTATGTCTGTGGAATAGAACACCTCCTGCTAGGGCTCCAGCCCCTCACTTTAGCCTCACTGGCTCTGCTCTGTTTTATTAGCACCTACAAGAGTTTTATGAATGAGTCAAATATTCACAAATAGTCTAGTACTCAGGGATGGTAAGCCTGGGTTTCAGAAATGCTTACAATAAATAAGATTTATAAGGCTTTCCTTGGACCTGGTCATATACTTTCTTTGAATATGCCATAAAGGAATAATGAGCAACTATTTGCATAAAAATATGAGTAGGAAAAACCAAAAATATTATTTATAAGAGCAAAAGGAGAACAAAACTATGTTTAGTGACAGAAAAATGGCTAAAGGCTCATATCCATGCCATAGCACACATATTAACATTAAAATGTCACATTTTTTCTTTTCCTTTAAAATATCAGCATATGTGTACTTATTTCCTTCAAATGCATGCCAGACTAATTCCACAGCACAATCTCTTCAAGAGTGATTTGTTTCTGCTGGAGGTATACAGCTTAGGTGTTGAGCACGCACCATGTGCCAGGGCCTGGTTCACACACCAGCACACCAAGCAAAGAAAGGAGCAAGACCCAAAAACCAAGCCCCAATGATCTGATTCATAAGCATTTGAAATTTATATAATTTCACAGCAGTACCTTTTCTTTTTTTAATACTATAAATTAAAAGCCCCACCCCATAGCCCATTCATATTTCTTATTTCTCCTTCTATACATTCAAAACTTAAAAATTCAAAACTGACATAAAATCCTGTTTAAAAACTTGAAACTCTAAAATACCGCTTCCTCAGTACGACTCAGAATCGTCTGCAGACTGGCCTGCAGTCAGCAGTGGTGAATCACAGAAAGGCAGAAGTAAAGACGAGGCAGACATAAATTTGCTACCTTAATATTTTACTAATTCTTTTGGTTAAAAGTAGGGATGTCCTGAGAAGGAACAGCTTGGACTTAATGTGAGGTATGGTGTGAACCTGTGATGCTTTGAGCATGCATTTGGAAGTATTTTCCTATTTGATCTGCATTTTCCATAGCAAGCTGATGCTGAGAGAGAAGTTATTTTCTTCCCTACATTTGCTTAGTGCTGCTGAGTGTCTCCCTGGAACTGTGTTTTAAGCCTTCTGTATTCATTACATGGTCTTTTTTCCACCAGACCAGCTTCAGTGCTCACAGGTCAGGGCTCAAATTAATTTTTAATAGCATTTTAAACTGTCTCTGCAATAGCAGCTTCAGAAAATACCCGAAGGATGTTGTTTGCCAACTGTTAGCTCTTCCCAAATCTCTTTAAGTCCTCTCTCTTGAGATATTTCTTTTAGCTTGTTTTGAGCTGCCACAGCAGATCCGGTGACATAAGAATGATATCTGAACTGGTACGGTCACACACACCGATAATCCCCACACCTTGGGAGGCTGACGCAGAGGGATCAAAAGTTTGAGCCCAGCCTGGGCAACTTAGTAACTTAGCAAGACCTTGTCTCAGTAAAAAGAAAAATGGTTGGGGATGTAGCTCAGTGCAAGGTTCAGTACCACACAAATAAGGACAATATATATGCATAGGATATATTTGTAGATATGCACAAATGCACAAATGTCGTCTATTAGTATAAGATTGAAAGCTCGCTGTACTTTTCAAGAAAAACATACTTTTCTGTCTGTGCTTTTTTTTTTAAACAAGATCCTTTTTAGGATCAAAATTCCTTATATAACCATCAAACTTTCCAATATCTCTAGTCCAGAGCCACTTGTATTTTCATCTTCAAAGAAATCTACTTCTGTCTGTGCCTCATTGTTGCAGGGTCCTAGGGTCATGTTTTGGCCTCCCATGAGAATTTCACTGCTAGGCTGTGGCATATCAGTATTACAGTATCCACATTTTCCCCAATTTCTTTATTTCATTTCACAGAAACTAATGGGGCTCCTACTCCAGCCAGTATGGCACCCCTGTACATTTGTCATCGCTCAGCCACTGAAGATTCACTGAGTTCACACTCCTGACTAACAGTAACTCAAAAGTGTGCATGTTGATGGTTACAGAAAATGGAGACTCGGGCTTTGAGTTAATTAACTTTGCCTTAGTTCAGTTAGATTTTTTCCTGCATTGACTCAGATAAAAATTGAGTGAAAAATACATTTAGAATAGTATTATGTTTGAAATGTATGAAATGCAAAATAACAAGGGTTGATTGTCTATTTTTGCTTCATGGTAGTTTTGAAAATAAGTGGTTATTTATAAAGTGCACAAAAGGTGGAACTGATAGATTCATCAAGATTCAGCTGATAATGGCGAGCAGTTCTAGTGCCTTCAATGCGCTTTTGTTTTGGTGCATCTGTGGTTCATTAGGAAGGCACCAATTCAATGGCTAAATGGAAGAGACTCAGTGTTTAGGGCAAGAATTGTGGGGAGAAGAGGATTTAGTTTCCAGGACCCTTCCAGGCACACTACCTACCTAACACCTTGAAGTAGGCACCAATGTAGAAGCTCCAAGTCAGGATTTTAAAAAATGATGGGAAAAGCCCGCTAGATATCATGAGGTAGGAATTGGTAAGAAACCTGTATGATACAACCCCAGCAAGAAGTTTTTCTTTAGTTATGTACGTATAAGTACTACTTTTGATTTTCTTCTTCTATCAGTAAGGATTTTCAAAATTCTCTACAAGCAAACATGGAATACTCTTTTGATCCACAAAGCAAATTTGTATCTGCCTGCAAGGTCAAAACAGAATCTTGGGCTGGGGAGATAGCCTGGTGGTCTAAGTGCTCACCTGGCAAGCACAAGGACCAGGGTTTGATCCATGGTACCACATGCTGTGCCAGCCCCAGAACCCCAGGTATGCTGGGCTGGCCACCAAAACCAGGTGTGGTGGTGCATGCCTATAATCCCAGTGCAGGGTAGGCTGAGACAGGAGGATCACTATGAGTCTAAGCTGCATAGTGAGACCCTGTATCAAATAAATAAATAAATAAAAGATTTTTAAAAAGAGAAAAAAAAAATCCTGTTACACTCAGCATGGTACTCCAAGGATCTCAGGACATCCCTACCATGCCTCCCTAAGCAGAACATCACTCAGGTTGCCCTTCCAATGTATGCTAACATGAGGAGGAAACTGAGTCCTTCAGCTCCCCAAAGCCTGAGGTTCTGAACCTCCTGTGCTGCTGTGCTCATTCCCTTAGAACAAGGACCCTGGAAAACAAGGTGTCTGCATCACTCCCAGGAATAGCCACCGGCTCATCCTTAGCAATGGGACAACATGGAGCAGTAGTGGGGAGACCGCACTAGGGAGGCAGAAGTGACGTACCATGATCTTGGCAATGCAGTCCTCTGTGGTCTCTGCTGATTCACACTCAATTTTCCCTCCACTGTTAACACTCCACTCATCACACTTGAGCCTCTCATGGTGGCTCAGTGCACACCACTTGAGGGTCTTGGATTCTTCCAGTGAGGTTTCTGGACCTGTGATGCAAGAAAAAGAATGAAAGTTTGGAAGTGAGGCCTCTGGTGTTGTCAATGCTATTAACTACCTTCATGTAAATAATAGGATTTGTCAGCAAGAAACAAACAGATTCTATTTAGAGAATTCATCATCTTAGGAAGCAAAATCAATACACCATCTCTTGGTTGGTTTCTGTTATGGTTTAAAACTAGAAGTCCCCCGAGACCTTCATACAGTCATAGGTAGGGGAATTTTGGAGGTGGCCTGACCTGTGGTGTGTGACGCAGTGACTGACTTACAGTGCAACATTAGAATTAAGGGTGTAAATGCTTCCTGCTCTAGGCAGGTGGTCTGGATCAAAAAAGAAAGATGGCTGGTGTGGTCATCGCTTGTTGCTTGCTGCTTTTGCTGTCTTCTGCTTACCATGAATCATTTCTCCTCTGCAATGTCTGTCTGTCTTGCCTCTCTGCCTTGGAGCCAGCTGACTATGGACAGAAACTTCTACAAACTGTGGGCTGAACTAAGCCTTTCTTTTAACTTGGGATCTCAGATATTTTGTCTCAGCAATGAGAAAAGTGACTAAGACAGTTTGTTTTCATTTACACTCAACATTTTTCTTCTGAGAAGTCAACTATCTTCTCCAGCTTCTGTGTATTCTATGGTTTCTGGCTGATATTTTCATTCTTTGTTTTCAAATAGAACTTAATTCCCTGGTATGTTCATATGTCTGTGTCCATTGCTTGAAGAACATGAGCTCCAACAGGGCCATGTCTGACCTGTCCACCAGAGAACTCTGCTCAAGTGCCGCTAGCACATGGTCAGTGTACCTAATGTCTGAGGGAAAAGTAGATACCTGCTCCTCTTTCAGACTCAGTCCTGAGTCACTTCCTGTGGGCAGCTTTGCCTCAACCCCCAGGCCAGGGCCTGTTTTTCTGTTTTTCACTTTCATAGGACCATGGTTTTGTATTATTTTCACTCATAAGCAAATCTCTCATTTTATAACTGATGACTCAGGAGTAAGAATGCTCACCAGACACTTGTCTTCTCCCTGGCCTGAAAGTTCCTGGATAGCAGAATTTAGCATGTTCAGCTCCTGGCAGAGTTTATGGCTAGATGGTCAACGTGTGCCCAGTGATTAAACTAGCCAGCAGGCAGAACGCCAGTGATCCAATAAAATTCAGTATTGGAAACGAGCTATGTAGAACTCCAGCTCCTGCTTCATCATGGCACATGTTGGTCACAGTACAGGCTAGAGATGTGCAATCTTGAGACACACCTTTTCATTTTACTTATTCTGTGCCAGGTTAATTGGTTTCACAGTTACCTGATCCTGAAGGGCAATCTCAATTTTCCTTATGCAAGGAAACTAACAAAAGCATCAACCCAAGTCACTGAAAATATTAGTGTCCTTTAAAGCCCTTGTGATACCCAGACCATGTCATCATGACTACTGCCTCTTAGCATCAGTCTAATACTGAGTTCATGGACAGGAAAGAATAAAAGACATGACAAGAGGCTTTCAAGTCCCTGGAAAAAGTGGGTCACTGATCCTGGCCCTGAACAGTTCCCCCCTGCGCACCACTCCTGAGGTCATCTAGTCCTTCCTGAATACTTACATATGCCTTCCCGTAGATTCCGAACAGCAGTGACATACTGATAGCCCAGGTACAGCCTATAGTCCATCCTGGGAGGGATCCTTAGAAACCCTTGCGCAGAGTCCTTAAACAGCAGGTTCTTCCCATGAGGAGAGCTGAACAGGTGGAATTCTTTTGATTTGTCATTGCCAAAATGTTCCTATTCACAGTAAAATAGAAAAATCAGCGGCAACAGAGAGCAAGAGAGGCTGAAAACGGGGGCTGAAGAGAAAAAAGTACCCCAGAAAAAACAAAGTGAAAAACCGTGAGAAATTTCAAGATGCCAAGAGAAAAGGCAGCAGAGGGCAATGATGCTGTCCTCCACCTGTTACCTCCTCTGCTCAGCGCCTTCCCGGGACCACACCATACTCCCTTCCCTGAGTGAGTTTCTGGGCCTATCTTCCTGAATGGCTAAAAGATCACTGAGAACAAAAAATTTGTTTGACAACAAATTTCATTGACAGTTTGGCGTGATTATATGGTTGTGCTTCAGTTCTCTAGAGGCAGACTGGGGCACTGGACGAGGGGAAGTTAGTTCAGCCCCACATCCCACCATGGTAGGGGAGCCAAGACGGCAGTAGGCACAGCTCCCTGTCAAGTAGGGTGGGAGACCTTGGCAGAGAGTTGTTCTCTAGGTGGGAAGAACATCATCCAAGCCTCCATGGAAGTGATGGTATTGTCCCTGACATGAAGGCCTGGTTCAAATGGAAAGAAATAGAATAACATGAAAGGACATGCCACTGGCCAGGGCATGTGCTCTCTTCACAAGGTGAAGAATGAGGGATGCCAATGCCAGAGACAGCTCCTAACTGCTCTGGAACCCAGCGTCTGGGGCTTCTAGAATGGTTAATGATTTGTAGCAGGATTTCTACTGTGTCTTGACCACACAACTATACCTAGAATGGCCAAAAGGCAAAGATTGAAACCCCTAAATCCAAGCAGGAGAGGAGCACAGCAGGTCGGGTACCTGAGCCTGGCTGAGGAGCTCCCAGATCAAGTCCTCCTTGCCGTCCACACTCCGAGCCACGACAGCGTGAGAAGGAACCTTGGCCAGATGGCACTGTGCGTACTCATCCACCGGCCTCCGGGTATTGTCCAGGCAGAGCAGCTCATACTGATCCCTGTCAGCTTTTTCAGGCAGAACCTCTGGGGAAGGAAGGACCAGACGAGGGTGCTACACGCAGAGCCACTAGCTGCCATGACCCCTTCCCACCCTCCCGATCCTATTAATGACAGGAAGCATGAGCTGCAAGGCCTACAAGGATCTCTGCGAGCCAGGAAACGTGCAGGAAAGTGACCCTGCAGGCAGCTGAAGGCACTGAGGCTTCCAAGGCCAAGTGCGGCCATGACTGCCCCCCATTCACAAGTCCTATCAGTGGGATCGTTGAGGCCGGGGTGAGCCAGACCAGCCTTCAGGCCTCTGCTAGGCAACACTGCCCCCGAGGCAGAGGCTTTGTGTCACCAGGCTGAATGATGCAGAGAGGCCCTGTATGCTTATGTCATACGACTGAACATGAGAAGCAGTGAAGACAAGGTAGAAGACGTGTGTACCATTTAGGGCAGACTTACCAGACCCTTCCCCCATCACTTACCGAATATGGTTAAGTGCTTGATGAAGGCGACGTCCCCATTACCATCCTTCAGACACCTGTGCAAAAGGAGCATGTTAGGGCTTCTGCAGGGCAGCCTTTCTCCTGGACTTGGGAGTCCTGACCACACTGTCCAGCCCCTGAACAAAGGCAGAGGCTCAGGGGGCCTGTGGAGCACCACGGGGTGCTGACATCCAGGCGCCACCGCAATGTGAAATGAACTCATAGGAAAGGGAGATGTCCAACTTTGTACTCCAGAGCAGCAAGAAGAAATTGCAGGTATTTTAGTGTAAAAGACGTTTTAAGTTGTTGTTATAGAAGACTCTATAATGGTGCTTCCTCTCCTGAGGCTAGGCGTGTGCCATTGGCTAGCTATAAAACCTTAACTGCGGTAAGGAGAGAGCAAGAATGAAGCCACAGGAGCAAGCAATCTGGATAGAGGCAGTGCGGAGAGGCAAGAGAGGGGCCGATGCACTGTGTGTGTGACACCGCTGTCCAGCACTGAACAGAGGGCCAGGACCCGGGGGTCATGGCTACTTTTTCAGTCCAGTGGTAGGAGATGCTAGTCATACCTGAGGGCTCTGAGGAGAGAAAATGAGTGTCCAGAGAGGGGCTTGATCATCAGGGTCAGATGGACAGCAACCAGGCTGCCCTGATCTCAGGAGCCCCAGCCAGTGGACTTCCAGGGAATGGATCAGGTCTCCCTGATGCCCTCCCTCAAAGGCAGGCCAGGCTCTGCTCATTCAGGCCCACTGAAAGACTCCCAACCTGAGTACCTGTAGCAATTTGGCCACCTTGGAGCAGCAGATAGTCTTACTCACTTGAAGGCACCTGCATAGCCGAAGTGTGGTTGAAGGGAGGAGCAGCCACACCCTGGACACAGTTGACACAGTTGAGGGAATTCTGCTGCATCAGCACAGGGGACACAGCTGCCCGAGAAGAAACTGGCCACCGCTGTTCAACACAGAGAAATGGGCCATAAGAGTGGGCAGGGCTGGCTACACCCAGTAACATCCTGCTGCCCAAGCTCCTTAGGGAACAGGAGGAGACCAAAATAAAACCAGCAAACCCAGCCCCAGGTCAGCCTTACTTGTGCTAGCTCATCAAGATCCAGGGGTTTCAAATAGGAACAAATTAACTCCCACTCCATTACTATCCAAGCAAGGAAAGAGATCTGTGCGTCCCACCAGCCAAGGCTTGCCTCAGGCCTCTATCATCAAACTACCCCTGCCCACAGAGCTTATGCTGTCAAAGGTTAGGACAGAGAGATCCCCTCTAGAACCCATGCTCTGGCGATGGGACAGCCATCTACGGGGTGCAGGCCAGGCCTGTGGCCAGCAGATGGCCACTAAGCAACCTCCAGCACAATGAGTCACATATACCATAGGCAGGAGCTCTGGGAAATAGGAGGGCCCTGTGACCACGCTCCTGCTACACCCTCCACTAGCCCTTCAGCCCTGTTCTCCTCTCCTATGGATGGCTTCTGCTGGTGTGGGGCATCTCAGTATAAAAAACTGCCACCTCCCTGATGTACCAGCCCTCACCCAATGACAGCTGGTGCTATAGATCTGCCAGTTTCAAACTGGTTAGCTCCCTTTCCTAGCCCGGAGTTCACCCAACATGTCCAGTTAATCTTGGCCACATGACTCCAACATAGTCCATGTAGCCATCTATAGTAGAGATTCCAGCTTACCTTTCTCAAGAGGTTTACGTGGCTCAGGTAAGCTACAGAAAAGTAAGCCGATGGGGACGATCCACCCAGCGGACCTGCCAAGGCCTGTATGGCAGGACTTCTTGCCTTGGAGTTCATTCAGCTGGAAGTTAGTGCCCTTCTTCACCACCGCAACAGCATAGTAGAAGGTCTGTGGATCTGCAGAGAGACAGCATGAGTGGCAGGAAGACCCTACACAGAGAAGACTGCACAGAGAAACATTGTTTGTCACTACTGGGCTCTGGAGGAAAGGGGGTCTCCGAGGCCACTCATGTAGGGTTAGCAGAATCAGAAACAGCTTCCTAGGCTTGCAGAGGAAATAAAAGTTGAAGGCACATTTGCAATGGAGTTTTCCCTAGGCAAACAAAGAAGTCCCCATGCACATGTATGTCCAGTGTTTTGCTTGCCCTGGCCCTTCAGTGTGTTTGACCATATCTATTGCCCAGGGCCATCAGCAAACTGGAACTGTGGCCACAAGCGCTGGCATTCCCCACCTCCCCCTGTGTATTTTCTGTTCCCTGGAACAGGGATAGCCAGATTGACCTCAGAAGATTTCAGGGTCCCTTTGCACATCCAGAGTGGTAGTCTGTTGTACATGGCATCTGTGGTTCCAGGGAGCTTCCAGGGACCCTGGAAACCTCCTAGATCTAATGGCAGCTCAAAGGTCATGGAGACCTTGACTTGTGCCTCTACCGAAAGATGAAAGGCACTAGTGTCTAACATCAAATATCTGCTAGCAAAACACAAAACTCAGTGTCTAGTAGGAGACAAGGTCTAAAAGCCCTTCATAGGTCTCCAGGGAGAACTTACTCTCTTGTGTTCCATAGTACTCTGCCACTACAGGCTTCAGGTTTTTGGGAGCCAAGCCTGCCTCATGCACCAAACCCGCATCCACTGTCACAGCATCTGCTTCATTTGCCTGAAAGAGAAGAGACCAGATCTCAGGGAAGCCCTCATGTCTGAGGATGCCCACCTGAACCTGGACCACCAGGGAATGGCTATCAAGGCTCCATGGATTTAAAGTTGGAAGAACCCTTAGTTTGACCAGACCATACACAACACTGTTGCCTTCAGTTGACTCTCCCATGAAAGGGCATTTTGGCACCATGTTTCTACCCTTCCTGTACTGTTCCTCTTTGCCCTGGTCAGGAGTTCAGCTCCTGGCCCAAACTCCTATGTAGATTAGTGCTAGGTGGTTCTAAAGCGTCAACCCAGCAGGCCTGGGGAGCTGCATCCCAGACCTGCAGGCATGGGTGAGGATCGCAGCCGAGGGCTCTTCTACCTCTTTCCAATCCCGGGATGACCGGCATTCAGAGACACCCCTTACGCTGAGACTTCCTGTGAGGTCTTCCTCATATGAGGACCTTTCTCTGAGGGAAGATGGAAACTTTAAAGCCTCTTGTCTCAACCCTGATTCAATACACAATACTCTTCCTGTCCAGAGCTCCTAACATTGCAGGAGACTTGATTATTCAGAGACTGCGCTTTCTCTGAGTTTCGCTTCTTGGATGTACTAAGGCTGAGTGATAAAAGCATGGATTGTTCCTTCCAGTTTTGCTCACTATTAGTGTAGTTGTCTACTCTGATGCCAAACAGCTCATACCTGATGCCAAACCTCTCTATCTCAGCTCTGCTTTATAAGAGACAAAACTGAGACAAAAAAGAATTAATTCACTTTCTTAGGCCATGTATCTATCTAGTAAGGCAGGGAGCTAGGGTTTGAGATCAGTCAGCCTAGGCTTACTTCAGGGGTTTTGTTTTTTTACATTGTGCTACTATAAAACCTCATTTTTAAATCAATGAATCACTTGAAGTATTATAAATGCCTTCCTATTAAGCATATAGTTTATTTTCTCTTTGCCTGAATGCTTAAAGTGAGCCAAACTATTGTGAATATTCTCAAGAACATGTTTTTTCTCCTTTTTTTTGCTTCTTTTAACAAAATGATTTTTCAAGAAGCTTTTGCCAATTCTCTGTTAGTACAGAACTATGAATAGTTAACAGTTCTTATTGATCAAATTATGAGACAAAACTACAGCTCTTTGATCTTTATCAGTTTATAGGAAAGTAATGAGGAAAATATTTCTTTCTTTTTCTTTTTTCTTTTTAGATTGTCTTACTATGTCATTCACACTGGCCTTGGACTCGAAATACTCCTGCTTCAGCCTCCCAAGTAGCTGGGATTATGGACATGCACCAGGAAAACTGGCTTCGACAAAGCATTTCTAAGTGAAATAAAATACCAATGCAAGCCAAACTATCTTTGCCTAGTTGAAATTTTTTAACAATTAGGTTGGGCTTTTTGTTTTTGTATTATAATAAAACATTATGAAAACAAAATGTAACCATTTTAACGTAAAATTTAACCATTGTAAGTATACATGAAATTACTTATTAAGTGTAACATAAATTTTATGATCAAGTGTACACATTAGTGACTAAGAACATTCATATAGTCCTATAACCATCACCACTGCCCAACTCTAGAGATTAATATTCCCAAGCTGAGACTATCAGTTAAACCATCACTGACCATCTCTTCCCATCCCTGAGCAATGATACTTCCTGTTGTTATGAATTTGACTTCCGGGCACCTCCCATAAGTGGAACCTTATAATATCTGCTATGGTGTATGTCATGTTTTCTTTCTTTTTCACAACTTTTCTCTTCCTTTTCTTTCTTTCTTTTTCAATACTGGGGATTGAACCCAAGGAATTTATACTGAGATACATCCTTAGTACTTTTTTAGTGTTTAAAACAGGATCTCACTAATCTGCTAAATTTCCCAGGCTAGATTTGAATTCAGAATCCCCCAGCCTTAGCCTCCCAGAGTGCTGGGATTACAGATTTGCACCATCATGTCTGGTTACATGTTTTCAAGGTTCATCCACAATGCGTCATGTATCAGAATTTCATATACTTTAAGGCCCCAAATCATCCGTGGTATGTATATGCCACATTCTGTTTATCTATGCACACATCCATGGACAGTTGGATTGTAAAAACATTTCTTCTTTTTGGGTTAGGGTTAAAGCCAGGACTTCACACATTTAGGCAAACCCTTTAACACTTAGCAAGATCCTCTCAGCCCATAAAAACATATTTTTAAAATGACAAAATATGTCCAAAAGTGTTTAAATGGTGATATATTTACTTTCAGTATCATAAATATTTAGGAGACAGACCAGGCCCTTCTGTTTCATAACAACTAGACTCCAGACAGGAACTCCGTCTTTGTTTAGTCCTGCAGATACCTACCTTCCCTACCTCACTCCTTACACCACTGAATAAAAATGAGTGAGCAGGCAAGAGCTTTGCCCAGTGCAGAGGGACTGGTGAGAGCGTCACTTGGGCATTCTTGGCTGGAACACAGCAGCTGCACAGGAGTCACTAAAGCCTGTGGGGCTCAGGGAGCCTGGGAGCATAGGCTTTTTTTTTTTTTATTTTTTTTTATGGTGTGTGTGTGCGTGTGTGTGTGTGTGTGTGTGTGTGGCCAGCTCAGCCCACCAGGGGGCAGGGCTGGCTGGCATGTGGTGCTGGGGGATTGAACCGCGGTCCCTGTGCTTTGCTAAGCTTGTTCTAAGTAGGTGCTTTACACCACTGAGCCATCTCACCAGCCCGAGCATAGGCTTGAGAGAGGGGTTCAGGGTACCCAGTGCTAGCACAGCTGCATTCCTAGCACAGGGACTCTGCACTAGTGACAGCACGAGCTTGCAAGTCCAGATGGCCAAACCCATGATGGGAGCGGAAGCAGTGGGCTACAGCGGCGCTGGGCTAGGGACGCAGCAAGAGGAAGGAAGAAGACTCAACTGGCCAACTCTGATTTCCTGAGCTAGGCCAGGCTGCAGCTGGCTGTCCACCTCTTCACCTCTTCTGTCCCACCCGTTTCTTCCTGCTTGCTTTGTACTAACAATTGGAGAACTTTCCACACACGGCAAGTCAATCTAAAAAACTGCATCGAGGGATTTAACCATACTCCAGCATGGCCTCTAGCAGCAGAAGGCTGTGTGCCTTGAACAACCCCGGCCACCTCTGCATGTGCTGGCTGAGAAAGCTCAGCACTGCCAGGAAGCTTTACTACTGCTTCCAGCCAACACACAACCAGTGGTTAGCCCTGACCTCCCTTTCTAAAAACAATTACTAAAAAGGACTCGCAGTTGTGAATACATTTCTCTTGCAACTGAGAAGCATCCCTTATAAGGACCCAAGAGCCACTCCTTTGAAATACAATCATCAGAAAGGATAAGGCTTCATCTCCCCATTGCTGCTGAGTATAGCAGCCTAAAGTGGATAACTGTCATTTAGCAGTCACGGCAGCCCCCTCATGATCACGCTGACTAACCTTTAGCACTTTTGCAATTCCCTGACCCTACTGAGTCCCAGCTCTCTTTCTCCCTAATTCTCCTTTGAAAAACACTCAAGTTACCTCTGCACACATCAGAATGGAGCTCAGCTCTTTTGCTTATAGTTAGTACCTACTGAATAAAATCTATTTTACACACTCCAACTAATATCTGGCTATATTTATCTCTGACACCTTCCATTACCCCAGCTTTCATCTTGCAGCCTACGAGAGTCTGGCTGAATCCAGTCTCAGGCCCTTTGCACACACTGTTGCTTGCTTTCTGGTATTTTTACCCTTTCTTCTTTGCAAGGTCCAACCCAAGACTCATGTCAAATCTCAGGATCACTGCTTCCTTCTCAAAGAGATTGTCCCTGTCCACACAGGTCCAAGCATGGTGCTCAGTGAGTCCTTGTCAGAACACTCTGCTCTTCTCCTTCCTTGTGCATCCCACACTGAGGAGCTATTTACTCATTGTGTGTTTTTCTCTCCTTCTCTAGGTTGTGAGTCCATGCAGGGTGTGTTTAATTCACCACTTCAGCCCCATGACCTAGTATAGATCAGACACACAGGAACAATACTGAAAGAGTAAAGAGTACTTTTGTAGTCCTAGCAACAAAGGGATCAGTCAGCATCTGTAATCATGACATCATTCTTCTTCCACTCATCACTCATCTTCTTCCTAGTGATCTACCAAGAACTCCCAGCAGGCCAGGGTTGTAGCTTGAGCAGTAGAGCACTTGCTCAATATGTGTAAGGCCTGGGTTCAATCCCCAGCACAGCCCCACAGCCCCAGAAAGCTGTCAAATAAGGCTATAGAGACATTCCTTATCTAATGCCCATGTTACTTTCTTATGACTAGGTCATTAAATGAATTGGTTGATAAATGAGGAATTGTATATAATACGTGATTGCAACATTCAGAACAAAGAAACAGTGGAAGGAGACTGCAACTTGATGACTTTGCTTTCATTTGCATAACTCTTACACACAATACTGTGATATATATGAACATCACATTTATGTGAACATAAATCTATAGTGCTGTAGAGTACAATCAGCAAAAATTACTCTACCACAGAAGAAGCTACCCTAAGGCTGCACCGCTGCTCACATTTTTGCATCTTAAGTCTGAATGAGGGGATAAATCTGAGCAGTGGGTCATCAGTCCCAACAGTCATTAAGATGAGTAGGTCACTATATGAGGAACACCTATGTAATTTTGATAATAGGCTAGTAGATACTCTTGTTTTTCCTCTGAGTTCACAGAGCTTAGTTCCTCAAGATAGTCACCTTTCAGACTACAGGCACTTTTGCTGTATGCACACATCAAAGACGACCTCTCAGATTTCCATTTTGAAAGTGACTTAAATAGCAGTGAGAGTTGACTGCCTCCTGCATCAGCCTCTCACCTGTGAGCAAAGAATCTTCTCAACATGACCAGAGAAGGAGAACGTGTGGACTTCCTTCTACTTCCGTATAGGCTGCTGTGACTTACCGCAATGCTCTTGATGCAATCGAGGTGGGAGTTCTTCTTCACACAAATGACACGGGGACCATCTGCTGGGAGGACTTTTTTCATGCTGTCACGGAAACTGGCGCATTTGCTGGCCTCGTGATCTAACACAGCACACCATCTCACGGTTTTCTCAGGGACAGCCAGACACAGCCCTAGTGGAGAGAAGCCAGAGGTGTAAGGGATGCACTCTCTGTGCCAGTGGAGATACAGTGCCACCCTCTGAAGGTCTTCGATGGCTGAAGGCTTTCTGTCCTGTCTTCACTAACTCCATGGACACTGCAGGACACAGCTCCACCGCATCCTGATCCATATTCCCTGTGCTCCCTCACTGTCCTGAGCTCAGTGTGCTCAACAGCATTTTCAGACACGTTGGTGTGTCCCGAGTGTGGTGTGCAGGGCCAGAAAGCCAGCAGGTAGGAATCACCAACTTTTAGAGATGGCGGAGCTGGACTCACAAAATGGTGCTGTTTTGCCCACAGTCATCCCGCTCCTTAGCAGCCAGGCCAGGCTCCTCTGAGCCCATGTCTCCAGCCCCTCAGTCTGCCATCCGAGACGGCTCGGAGGAAGGTCACTGTCTCTGCCCTTCCTTGGCCAGTAGTTGCACATAACTAAATGAAAAGATCACAAATTCGCCTGTGACGCGTGGCTCCCATCCTCTGGTTAGAAATAACTGCCAATTCCCTGTATCCAATAGTCTTTCCTCCTTCTCCACCCGACTCACTTCGACTGCCATTGAGGGAGAAAGCCAAAGCCCATCAGGTGTCTGTGAAAATCCCTGTGGCTGAAAACTATGAGTGGGAGGTTCACAAAGCACAAAGCAAGAGAGGTGAGGCCAGCTGTTATTCAGGATAAGTAAGAAAGGATCGTGAAGGATTGACCACCCCTGCTCTCTCCTGTATGCCCACTCAGCCCAGTGGAAAATCACAGGCAGCACCACAATCAGTGGCTCCAAGACCACCCCTTCAGACCCTCCTCTGAATCAGCGCTCCCAAGTTCTACAGCCAAACACGTGTCCTCAGTCATGCGGCACCTTGCACAGCCCTATGAGCTGCCCTGAGATGAGTAATTGGGAGCCTTCTTTGAAGAGGCTTATAGTTTTCAGTGAAATCAAGTAACTATGGAAAGCTCCTTCAGTGTGGCAAACGCCCTATGAGTGGCAGGCAGCCGCAGTGCAAACATGGCCCAATGGCCTTGGGCAGGTCACTCCACCAGTCAGCAGCCCCACTCAGGCCCCCAGCTCAAGGTAACCACCCACCGCGGGGCCTGAAAACCCCGTGATCTTGCTTACCCTCCCAACCTCCCAGACAGGTGCTGGCATTGTGGGCCAGGATTCGGACCCACAAACTCGGGCTTTGTATTTCAGAACCATGCAATGGCTCTGACCCCTTAGTAGGGCATCAGCAGCTCACAGGCGCTGCTGGGGCTTCTGACTATGAACTGGGGCAGTCAGGTCTAGGGAAGTGTTTGCCACACCAATGAGTGTGAACTGTCTGAAGAGGCAGCAGCAAAGGGTTTGAGTAAACTGCAGTTAGAAGTGCGCTGACTTATTGCTCCATTGCTGCGGGGGTCCCTGGGCTGAGGAGGAGCAGGAAACACGCGCAGGAGTTGGCCAGAGGCTCAAGCAGGAGCCCCAGAGGCACAAGAGCAGAGCCACTTCTGGGACTGATGCAGAAGGTGGGAAGGGCGTGGCGAGGAAGAGCAAAAGAAATGCACCGCTTTTGTAGCCTCCAGGGTAGAGGATTCCCCACCGGCCGGCGGCTCGCGTCCTCCTCCACGCCCACACTCACCCAGGGCGGCGCAGGCCAGCAGGGAGCTCGCGGCGAACTTCATCCTCCCTCCCTGTGCGGCAAGGAGCGGCGAGAACAGACCGACCGCTTCTGCGCCGCGGGCCTGTGCTGCGCGCACCTATATCCCTGGCCAAGGCCAGCCCGGCTCAATCTTTGCCCTCTTTTGTTTGAGCAGCTATTGCCTAATAGCCCCTCATCCATCCCCCTTCCCTTTTCACCCCGTTGATGATCACCTCATTTCCTGAGTTGTGTGACAAACCCGTGAACGGAATCCAGCACAAAAATACTGGCTGGAAGGGAACGAAAGCAGAATCCATTCTTTGTTCTCGCTGCTCGCTCGGTGCCAGGAGCCGGGCTAGAGCAGACCGAGCGGCGATGACTCTGCTCGGAACACGGGGCTGCCCGAGCTGGCAAGAGGCGAGAGGGGGACTCGAGACAGAGAGGAAGCACTTTAGTCCCCAAAGTGGAAACTATGCCTGGCAGGCAAAACCCTGCCTGAGGGTACATATAGAAGAAAGTTGGGCTGAAGGTTACAGAAAGTGGACCGCGTACCCTTTGCTCCTGCCCTGGTGCTCCCGGAAATTCTGGTCCTGGAGCCTCAGAGGATGACTGCGGTGGAGCGGCGCTCGCTCCAGCCCCACCCCCACCCCTCTCTGGCTCTTGAGCTGGACACCTTCCTATGGGAAGATAACCGGGGCCAGGGACCCTTGCTGGAGACGCAGAACAAAGCTTTGCGTGAGTACAAAGCACAGCCCAGGGAAGATGTGGCCTGCATCAGAGCTGTAGAGTCGCTCTGTCTGCCTGTAGCCAAGCAGCCTGCCTTGTGCTTTGACTCACATCAGGATCACAACACATACTGCGTCTTCTATTGCTGTATTTTAAGTAAAAGTTATGTTCCTTTCAGTCATGAGCAAGGACTAAAATTATACAAAAGAATGCGATAAAAATGAGCCACACTCATTTTTAAATGTCCTTCTGTTCATTCTGCCTTATGTACAATAAATAGATCTCTGGACACAATTTATATTCAAGGAACATGTCAAGGTTCCTCAAGTGAAGCCTAAATCCAGACTGCAGAGAGTTGTCAAGATACTGTTAGGATTTTCAAAGATTACATTTTATCCAGTCTAATCAGATGATCACGGATTCTGCCTCGTATCTTAACTGACCAAATCTTACTCCAGGCCTAGCTGACACGCTAACTGGGTTGCTTCACTTTTGTTTCCTTGTCTTTGTACTATCTGCATTGTCCTCTCATTGCAGTTTCTTTGCCAGAATATTCCACTTAAGGCACTTGAATATCTTGTGAGAGTTGGAGAGTTAAAGCCAGATTTCCTAATCTGCCTATCCACTGATCTAAGCATAGGCAATCCGCACAATGTGGAAAGAAAAAACTGCCAAGACAAAAGAGAAGGCCAGGATGCCACAACCATCCAGCACCCCCTTCCAATCCATTTCACTGTGAAGTGATCCCCGAATTCTCTTAGGGTACCTCAAAGGCATGCTACATTGGCTGCTTCCTCTGGTCTACCTACAGACCCAGCAGGGGAGACAGGACCAATCAACCCCAAGTCAAGTATGAGAGAATGATGATTTGTTATTAATGTTCTGTAATAACAATGGATAAAATGGGAAGGTAGGCTATATCCTCCCACATCTCAAAAGATCATCCCACTTTCACAAGGGATTCAGCAGGGACGATGGTAAATACCTGCCTCACTAATGAGGAAGGGGCCGCTGCTGCCCCATTCTACTGCCTCTGGCCCCTCTCAGGGATCCTTGTGTGTGAGTCATGGGAAAATAAGATGCCTGGTGGAAGAGCAGATTACTACTGCCACCCTGCAGCAGGCACGGGGGACTAAATCCGTGTAGAGACCTTGAGGTAAGGATATAAAGACGGCAGGGAATCCACCAGCAAGGCTGGCTAGGAAGGCACGCAGCAGTGCAAGGTGCATATTCAGCAGACGCCTTGTCAGGACCTGCAATGAGCTGGCCCAGTCTGCCAGAAGGGGAAGGGGTGGGGAAGAAAGGAGATCTGGGAAGGAGAGTTGTCAAATGTCAAGCTCAAACCCAGGAAAGCACCCAGTGCAGGGCATGGAAAGCACAGGGACGATGAACTTCCTTCCCCTGACCTCTCCCACCCTCACAGAGTGATCCTTCTCATGGCTACACCTCCAGCAGCAGCAGGTCCACCACCTAGCCAGGGACCTGCAGCAGAGAGCAGCCTATGGCAGGGCTGAACCCTCTCCACCGCCAGCCAGCTTTGGGCCCTGCTCTTGTTGGGCTACTGTAAGGTCAAGTCCAGGACAGGTGCTAAGAAGGAGTGCACATCCTCATGGGAGATGGGGAAAGCACCTGTGAGACATGGAAGGCAGAAGCTGTCACACCGTCCTTCAGAGGGAAAGACAGGGACCAGGCCAGCTCTGGAGGCATAAAAAATCCTCGTTCTATGAAATACTTATGCCCGTATATATCTACTGGGATGGGGGGAGGGGAGAACTTAAAACATAGTGCTCCACATCTTCAATGGCCCATGACACTTGGACCTATGTCCTGATTTATGTGTTTAATTCTACAACAGAGACCCTCTGGACACTCATTGTCCCTCTCATGCAACCTAATCTGAGACCTGATCTTCCCTGACTGCTTCCCACAGACCTTTGACACTTACAAGAATCCCCCACCTTGCAGATGAGATATTGTTATGGTGTGTGTGTCTTGTTGTCACCCCAAAGCCTCATGTAGTCATGGGGTGGCTTCTAGATTTTGTGATTAATTCATGATCCAGTGCTGAGATTATGGGGGTTAGTGCTACACCCACAGATAGCCTGAAGGCAATATACGGAAGAGAGAGAAGCCTGCTCTCAGCCTCTGCTCTTTTGTTTTGCTGGTTTTCACTGCTATGAACTGCTGCCCTCTGCCACGTGCCACTCTGCCTTGGAGCCAGCTGAGTATGGACTGAAACCTCAACAAACTGAGCTAAGTAAGCCTTTCCTTCCTTAATTTTGGGCACTGAGTATTTTGTCCCAGCAATGAGAGAAAAGTAACTGAGACAGATACTGAAACTGAGGAACAGAAAAGATAATACCTTATCAAAGGTCAGCTGCAAACCTGACCTGGATGCACACACAGGCAATCTGGCCCTGGGCTGCACCTATCTACCAGGGACACTGCTTTTCTCAGGAACCAAAGGGTTCATAGAAGCCCACACAGAAGGGAACAGACATAGATTGTCAGCTTTGCCACTTCTCCACAGTCATGCAGGCTGTGCCAGTGATGGGACTGGTCAGTCAGGACTTTGCTCAGAGACTGGCTATATCGTATTCAGCCAGAAGGAATTCATTTTTGATTCCCATGCATGTGCCAGGCACTGTTCTGAGGCATGATCTTGTGATCTTAACCAAAAGCCCCATGTGATGGAATCAGCCTTGTTTTCCACCACATCAATCCTTTTGATAGAAGAGTGGTGGCTTCTTCTTTACTGAGCTTTGAAAGTGGAAGTCAAATCTCTAAATCCCAGTCCTCTGCAGACCACATTAGCCTTCTTGATATGCATGTTCTCTTTCTTTAGAGAGGACCAGGGAGAAGGAGAGAGGGAAGGCATGTGAGAGCAAAAGAGAAGGAAGTGGAAAAGGTTTGAGAGAAGGATTAAGGGACTTCCAGTCCCAGACCAACCCATGCATGACCCACATTTCCTACCACAAACAACAAAACCCTTAAGTTCTACTACAGGGTTGGTCCTCTTATAGAAAAAGAGATGGAATTTGTGTGTACGTGCAGAGGAAACTTGGGGAAGCTGCCCAGAAGTGGGTGGGCAGGAAGGCAGTGGGCCTCTGTACCAATATTTGCTGTTTCCAAATGTTGCCCAATTTATACAAAAGCAGAGCAAACAAAGAACCTCAGTCTGCTTCATGCAGTCCCCGCTTCCCCTCCCCTACATTGTCCTCTGCCTGACACCAGAGCTTTCCCTGAAATCCTGATTCTGGGTTACTGTTCGGAGGGAGTGAGCTGGCAGCCTGAAAACCCGTAAGGGCAGCTACCCTGCAGGTCCACCGGCGTAGAGTTTGTGGAGTACTGTATGTCCTGCGGGTGGGAAGCAGGGAATCCCCTTAGGATAATGTCAGGCACTTTGGAATGACACATGACTCCCCCACACCCCTAGAAGTCCTTGGATAATGGAAGATTCTCAAACCTCCCATTCTTCCACAACAGAATCCATAAAAATATACTCCTCATGTAGAATAACAGTTCATAGCCAAGTGAAATGAATTTTATTACACAAGTAAGAACTACACTGATCTTGTACATAGTCCTCAGGGAATATAAAAGTAGGAACATTTCCTAACGCTTTGAGCACACTGCATATTTGGAAAATAAAAATCAACAAAGACATTGTGACCGACATAAAAAATATTTTGTTAACACAAATAAAAAAAGATGCAAAAAATTAGCAAATGGAATCCAAAAGACCTCCTGATTACCCAGTTGGGTTTATTACAGGAATGCAAATTACCTTTTGAGATAACGTACCTATCAGAGTAATTGATTGCATTGCTAGAGGGTAAGAATATCATTTGATAAAATTCAAATCCATTCATAGAAAGCCTCTTTTTTATGCTCCTTAAGTACACAAAGAATATTTGTAGATAATAAAAACATACATAAATCATCCTTCATGGTGAAATGTAGAATGAAGCTTTCTCTTTGAATTCAAGAACAATATTAGTTAACATTAGAACTGGAGGTCCTCTTCAGTCCCACCAGGCAGGGAAAACAAGTAGTAAATAAAAGAAAAAAGAATAAACAAATAAAACTCACTTTTGCAAATGGTAGAATTACATATGTAGAGAATCTAAAGTAATGATTTTATTTTACTTAAGAAATAAGAGTTAGTTGGGGGCTGAGGAGATAGATCAGTAGAACAGGTACTTCCCTGGCAAGTGCAAGGCTCTGAGTTCAATCCCTAGTTCCGCCAGAAAAAAAAAAAAGAGTTAGTAATAGTAGGTTCATGCTTGGAGTGCCTGTCATTCTGGTCTTCTGAATATGTGCTGCTTGTCATGACATGCCAGTTGCTGCTGTGCTGTCTCTTGGGTAGATGACTGTTTAAA